TTAGTACTGTTTCCTTTGTGAGATTAATGCTGAGTAGGAGCAGAGAGCACAATAAATTGAAATGCAACTTTGAGTAGCAGCATCATGGAGTTTTTTCTACATTTACCACCCTACTACATTCTGAAAGGTCTTGGTAGTAGAGAGCAAAACAGGGTCTGAATCCATTGTTAAACGGGTATAAATGGGGAGTACTGTAAATGTCTTAAATCATACCTTACTATATTTGTGTCTTATCTAGAATTACATTTGCTGTATTTGTACAGTGAACACATTCTTTGTCTCCTTCAGGAGCAAAACTCTTGGTCCAGAGCATGTAGTTGCCTGACACAAAAGAGCCAGAACCTTTACGTGATGGAGACAGCAAGAAAAATAAAAAGATGAACTAAGGAACTTCATGGGCAGGGGCAGTGGGAGAAGAGGCTTAATCAAAGAGGAAAAAAATGTTGCATAAAAGGAAAAGTCAAATCAAAAAGATGGAAAGACAGCAAGACAGCAGAATAATTGAAGTTGTCTTTTGGCCACCTGTGGTGGTGGAAGGTTGTCATTGGGTCCCTGTGGGGACAATTACAAGACTCAGTGGCAACAGTCAGTGTTTATATGTGTACGCGGATGCATGCCATTATCTGAGTGTCACTAAAGGAAGACATTTGTGGGGAGGGAAGCCAAATGGCAAAATGCAACGGGAGCAAGAATTAAAATTTCCATAGTTTCTGCTAAAAATAAAAAAGTCACATTCAATAGACATAAGCTGTTTTAAGAAATGAAAAAGATCCTTCCATACCCATTCACCAAATACCAGCGAATTACACCCAACATCATCACGAGCTATCTGTCTGCATAGCCAGCTTGAGAATCTTAGTATAATATATTTCAGAGAATAAATTTCCTTTTGAAATGTACTGATATTGTTCTTCCAGGAAGAATATTAGAATCAGTCACTACAGTGAAGGATCAAACTGACAAGTGTTGGTGCTGAAATATGAATAAAAACAGTCTAAAATGCCATCATAATGGGTAGAAAAGAAAAATGTCCTTCACTTTACACTTACTGTCAGAAAGCATCTTAGTATCAGACAAGCATCAGCCCGGCTTCTCTACTATTAGTAGGAAAACGTATCACAAGCCTTTCTTAACGATAGAAACACTAAGACTGTTTGGTGATTCAGCTGATTATGGTCTGCCTAGTCTACTCAATTTTCTCCTCAGGATGGGATGATCGGTTTGCTGTTGTAACTTTTAAACACAGCCACATTCATCCACACACTTAGCCTGTGAGAATATCACCAGACATTTATGAAACCAGCTTTTCCAATATATAGATTTTGTTGTCTCATGATAATTTTTATCTGCATCTTAATTTTTTTATACTCTCAACTTCTTTCTTATACCTCATCTTTTCCAACCCACCTAGCCAGTCTAAATCCTCACGGAGCTGCTGCAGTGTGTGTGTGTGTGTGTGTGTGTGTGTGTGTGTGTGTTATCTTTATTTAGCTCTAACTGAGAGTTACAATGTTCCATTTACATCTCCCAGAATGCTTGTGGATGGCCTCGATTATGCAAAATGCACATGGTATGTGACCATTTCCACCTTTCTTTCTTTTATTGGTATTAATTAAATGGACTTTAATCAACAAGAGTCTGCGATATCAAGGGTTATATTTTTATAACCAACTAACCATTTCATTTACACACAATACCAAATTCCCTGAGTGTCTTCCTTTCACTAAGTGGTTGCAGATTCCTGCTTGATTCACTTGTTTTGGTTTAACATGATTCTGTGTAACATTTCACATGTTAAAATTGTTTTACAGCGAGCAAGATACTCTTTATTAATGTTCCTGGTTAATTTGCATTTATTGAACCCTGTTTACGCAAGACACATGTAACACAAGTCCACAGCAATATGGAATTTGGTCAGGGGCAGATCAAGGGTGCAAAAGGAGCGTGACCAACTTCCGCATTTGAGAATCAAGACACCCTCCGCACTCGCACCCCTGGTGAGGATCGTGCAGTTGAAGGGCGCAAGAATGGAAGTGTGAGTATTGGGATTGGGTCATTCTCTGCTGTTTCCTGGATGCTAAAACAACAGCCCTCCCTGTCGCGGGTCAAGATGGGTGAGTCTATGAATGCTAACTTGTCAATGTGACGGGCATCTTCCATTGGCAGCTAATTCAGCAAATGGAGGTAGATTACTTTCACTTTTAGCCTGCACGTAAAAGTGTTTCATATTTGAAAAGTATCAAGTGAAAAACAGTTTCTCAGTGAACTTGGCCTTTACATTGTTTTACTGGCTGCGGTGCAGTGTTTCAGTGTAAGGCAGCGACACTCACTCCTGGTCCTGGAGAGCCAGTACCCTGCATGTTTTTGTTTTAACTTTGCTTCAACACACCTGATTTTAATCAGCAGTCCTTATCAGGCTTCTGAAGAGCTCAATGAGCTGCTTTACAGGTGCTTCAACCAATGATTTGTGTGTTGGAGTAGAAAAACAAGGAAAACATGCTGGATACTGGCTCTCCAGGACCAGGAGGGAGTACTGCTGTGTAACGGGTTTATTTTGATAATTTTAATACATACATGTTTGGATTTTTTGCTGTAAAGGGAACATTGTGACTCCTAGTGGACACTAATTACTAATTAAAGCAAAAACATCTGTATGTCCTTCTGTCTATCTCTCCATTTGTCTGTCTACCTCTCTACATCCTTCCCTATTCGTGTCTGTCCATATGCATATCTCTCGCTCTCATATTATTGTTATTGAGTAGAATACAGTAACATCATTTTAAACAAACTAATTAGCAATAAAATGTTAAGATTTTTTTCCTCCAAATAATAGAACAGAAAAATCAGCTGACACCACGAAGGCCTGATTAATCCTACACTTGGAAAACGCGATGCCCCGCTTCTGTTCTGCTCAAGGAGTCTTAATGGCTTTTAAAGTCCTCATGAATAACAACATTGGTGCAATTTGGTTGAAAAACCTCTTCATCATGACAGTTTCTCCACTTTTTCTCCCACTACCTACTATAAAACAATATAAAAGGATAAGCTTCGGAGAGAACTAAAATGAGTTTCTTTGCTTGTCATAGCCGTGCTTGTCAAAACAAACATTTACATGTAAACTCCTCACTCGTTCTATGACACCTCTTACTTCAAAGCATCGCCTCTTGCCATGTGCTATTGTCACACTTATCACCAGGACTACAGCATGCTATTATTCCGTGTTTCAAGGGAACTGCTTTCAAACAACTTTACCTGAAATATAGTTTGTGCACACCATCAAATCCATACAATCTGTGTTATAGCTGTACGTTTCACACAACAGTGAGTGGTGGCACCACACACTGAACCATTTACCTGCACTTTCTAACCCTCTGACACACAATAGACACATGAAGCCTAAAATACTGAGAAAACAGAATTATACTTTTTGTGAAAGTCTAAAAACCTTGAAAGTGACAGTGTGTATATTTCCTGGTGATAGGGGACAGTAGATACCTAAATCATTGCAAGCAAGCAACTATTTTTGTGTTTGAGTAAGACCTTACCAATGGATGTCCATTAGGGTCAAAAAGCCCAGGGGAGTGTAAACTTCAGCTAAATAACAAGCACATCATACTCCCTTTCATCACTGGCAACAAGTGAAGAGGTAAATGTGCAAAACAATGACATTTAAGAATGGTAAAAGTTTTGTAACTGTTTGTTACAAATCAGTAAATGGATTTTGTCCTCATGGGTTCCCGTAGAAGGAAACATGGCATCTAATATGGCGTCGTCCTGACACTTAGGGTGTTTCTTAATGCCAAGGAACCTTGTCTTGATGTCTTGGCCCTGCCTCGGTTGCCTAGGAGATACGTCATCAGGAGCTGCCGAGGCGTGTGTTCTCCGTTTGTTAGCCGTTTAGCTAGCTGAGCGAGGCTACACAGGAGGTGTCTTGTAGGCTAGCCTTGGACAAATATTACCCACAATACACCGCAATATTTTCAAAAGGACGGCGGATCAGAAGCCAGCAGCTACTTCGGGGACAATTTTCATGTTTAAAAGGAAGTCAACTAATTTTAAATATTTTTTTAGATCCAAAGAAGTTATCTATTGTTGGTTAGTTGCTTATTAGTTGCAGCTTCGGTGGCTAGCAGGTAGTAACTCACTTATTTATTTAGTTTAACAAATACATACACAATTTAAAAAGTAAAAGGCTTGTTATATATTTATTTTGAAACAAATACATATAAAATATAACGTTATCTCCCGTGTCACGTGACGTTACGTGACCACCGTGGAAGCCGTTGTCACGTGATGCGTCTGTTCCATTTAACCGTTTTCTTTGACCAAGGAAGGACAGTGTCCTTGTAAGCAAGGCGCCTGGCCTCGCAAGACATCGCCGCGCAAGGCCAGGCGCCGTGACATTCAGAAACAACCTTAGACCCGCTCCCGTGTAATTTAAACCTGATTTTCATGGTTATATGTTATGAAGCCGCCAATATTTTTCAACATTTGGGCATCATTTCATTCATTTTCAATAATATTTTGATGGATATTTCTAGAAATTAATGGTAAAAACTACACATTGTCTGTTTAATCAGATCTTTTGTTTTCATCATCAATTTGTGGCAGCCATCATTGTTTCAATACATTCGTACAATCACACAAAAAATGTTTTATTTACATACTTCTACTCTTATAGAGTGAATTGGTGTGTGTGAAACTTAATCTATAGATTCAAGTTGTGATAATAAGTGATGCAATAAAAAGCTGTGTCTTCTTTACAGCACGTATCACACGAATGACAACGGTATCTCGCTTGCTGGATAAGAGCATCAGAATCTGACACAAAAAGGAAGGGGAACTACTCATACCTAACTCTAAATACCTAAACTGATGCCTCAAAATGCATAATAAACTGTCCATGTGAATAAATAACATAAAAGTATAAATAGCAAGGCTGGCAGACAGAAAAACACATCGCAAGATATTTATTTGTGCACAGGGACATGCATTCTTACCCTTCGTGACTGGATCTCCTTGACATATAAAGGCAATAAAAATTCCGACACTCCCTCCAATCTGACTCCTTCCTTGGTGACTCGCATGTTCCCCATGCCATCCTGAAAAGGAAAGAGAAAATAAGGTACGGGAGGGAGGAAAAAAAACATGCATCCTTATGCATCTCCATGCTTTCTTCGCTTGCTTTAATGCATTTTCTGTTGCTCAAAAAGACAGTTTAATTTCATATATTATTTTTTTAATGTGTTATTTTTATATATTTAATGAGAAAATAGTTTTTATATCATTTGAAAGCATTCAAAATTAAAAAAAATATATACACAGAAATCCACCTTGTACTGACTTCTGGTGGAGCACATAGTTTTTATTGATGCATGCTGAAGCAGTACATGAAGTGTTATCAACAAAGAGTTGACTTTAGCCTAAATCAATTACACATTAAAATACTCTGTGTGCAGAGTCTGGCCAAAAATGCAACATGGCAGCAACCAAAACAGGAGATTTTTCCTTTATCTTCATATTTTAAATGATCAAATGAGTTCATTTGTATCCTGATTGACATTTGTTTTGCAGGAAGATATCACACTCTGCATAAAAACAGCAACCTAACACATGTATGGACAACAGCTCAACTATAAATGCACCAAAGTAAAAGCAAATCTCAACACTCAAGAGTACAAGTCATATCGTATTCAACGTGTGCAGATCTTGTGGGTTTCATTGGATTTTAATGGGAGTTTTCTATTTTGTAGTAATTTTTTATTTCTCTATTATTATTATTATTATTATTATTGTTGTTATTATTAGTAGTATTATTATTCATCTTGCATCAGCATCCCCCGTAAACCCGTTTATTTGTATCCAATCACCACACCTGTGTTGTGTCAGTCATTCCCCCCTCTGTGTTTTCACAAGTAGCGTTTGTGGTTTCCCTCATGTCATCTGTGGTTTCATGTTGCATCACACTGCACCTGTACTCCCTGTTTATTTATTTATTTTTTAGGAGAGGGGGGATCCTGTCTTGGATGTGTGTCTAGTGTGAGGGCTTTTGTAAAATAAAATATTTGAGTTTGTCATCCCGTCTGCTTAAATCCTACATTTGGGTGTTCCTTCCACTCTGGATTATGACATGAACAGGTGTAGCACCAAATGATTTACAGAAAATCAACACACACAAAAAAAAAAACTACACTAGGAAAACATTTCCCAAATAATTGATTTAGTATTGTAACAGTGATACAACCATATTCAAATCGTTGCATTTGAATCCATAATATTGTGTTTTTACTCTTAAAATAAATGGACTGAGTCATGAAGCATGAGTAAAAATAATATTATTTTTTTTATTATTTAGAATGTTGTGAGAGAGCCCAGGCAGCAGCAGAATTGATAATGATAATGAAGTTTTCACACAGATTTTACTGCTGCATCCATTCAAGTCTGTGTTTCTGCTCATGAGTTAGCATTTTTTGAATTTCATCTCACTATAAACAAATTAAACAAAAACAATTGGCTTTCAAACCAGACATCTAATGAAATACATCAGATATCTGGCTAAGATTTACCCTCTGTTACCATTGCCACGGTTTTTGACTAAGACCGAATTAGATGTAAGTCAGGAATCAGGCAACAGTGAGTCTGAGCTAGCCCCTGCTGTGAGTCTGTAGTGAAACATGTCATCACAGCTTGGCTCGGTAGGTAGAGGGCAGCCCAAGGTCAAACAAAACCCTGAAATCCTCAGTGAAACCAACAATTCATGTTTATTAATGCCATAAAACAAAACAGAGATGCTGTTTCTGCATTGGATAAGCTGTCTGCTCAAGAAATTAAAATCACACACAGTTCATCTTTGGTATAGTGTGTGTGTGTGTGTGTGTGTGTATACATACATACATATATATATATATATACATACATATATATATACATATATATATATATATATATATATATATATATATACACATATGTATATATACACATATGTATACATACATACATATATATATATATATATATATATATATATATATATATATATATATATATATATATATATACATACATACATACATACTGATGTGTGTCATGTTTTGTTAGTTTAAATTCTAAAATGTAAATCAGTGTTTTAGACTTTTTGTGTGCACATTTTAAAACAGAGGACACCAACCTTTGTGAAGCTGAACGACACGAAGGTTCACCAGGCTGACACTGACGTTTGAACTAGAAAAGGTCAGAGCTAAACTAAACTTCGTGTGTAATAAAGACTTTAATGTTTAGAAGAAAATCAATATTAATCTATATTACTCTATATTAATCCATTTAAGATGAAAAATGATGACCGCAGATATATATATATTTTTTATTTTTTTTTTAAACTTGTGCTATTTAGAGAAAAGCCCTGTCGGCACCTTATGGGCCATTCCTATCTGTACCGGGTCGGCCCGGGCCGGGTAGCGTAGGTTGTTTACATATCTGGGTGGCCTGGTATTTTTCCGGGCCAACCAAGGCTCATTCTCGGCCCTCTTCTCGAGGGGGTCTGCTTCAGGCCAACCAGGGCCAACACGCCCACTGCTGACAGCAAATTCACACCTTCCATTAGAGCAAGCCTCTGATTGGTGGGTAGAATCAGCCCACATGGGCTTAAGGCAAGGATGTGTGGAATCAACCGGGCCAGGCTGGGGCCGACTGGGGCTACCCGGCCCGGGCCGACCCGGTACAGATGGGAATGGCCCATTATGTGGTTTCTGGGGGCAACATGGTGGCCACGGGCACCAGGGTTTTGACCCTAAACATCATAGGAAATTTAATGACTTGTTTGATTTACTAAGTCGTGCATTTATTAGTCTGCCATACACTGTTTAAAAAGAATCAAATACATCCTTTTCTCAAAATAAAGAACTTAAGTACCAGTCTGCTTGCATCTCAAAGAAGAGCCTAAATCTAAATTGTCCAAAGTTGATGCCAAAGCAGTTTAAACAAGTGCCGCTCTAAAGCTGAAACCATCTTTGTAGTTTTTCTCCATTGCAGCTCTTGTGCTTAGCCCACCCAACAAACATAGAGCGCTGCAATTAGCAAGACACAAAACTGATCAGGCCACTTAGGAGTGCAGCTGGACCGACCTGCAGAGCAAAATCGTTTTTCTATAGTTATGGTTGTTGGCTAGCACTCTGGAGCAAGTGCATTCCATACAACTCAAGAATTTACCCAAACTGTCTTACTGAAGATGTAAATACGATGTTGGACTGGGGCAAACGTCCTCCAATATTGTTAATGCTGTTCTGAAATTTGCCAGCTTTAAATAACACGGATTATATTGATGTTCAACTTGTAATTTTGTATCGCCATGACAACACACCGTTATGACTTAAGGATGAGCACAAAAGGAGACATTTAGGGAGCTACATCTGGTATCATTAAAATGTAGACTCTTGTTAAATGTCCATTTTACTTCCAGGGAATTCCATTAGAAAAAGATGCAAAGAACGACTTACTTCTTCACAACACAGAGGACATAAAAAGTCCCACAATCTTGCAGATAACCTCACCTTAACTGGCTTTGAGTACCATTTATTTAGTTTTTGTTGTGCTTTATATCACACCAGTGTTTGTGATAAACTGGTTTGCTCTGTCTGATAAATGTTGGCTTTGTTCCAGTTTGTGATCAGTTCTACAGCGTTTAACAGATTCCACACGAGTGAATGCACAACCGATTATTGGATCAGACGTACATGGAAAGATTAAATTCCTTAAAAACAGCCATGCGTGGTGTTATGATCGTGGGGGCTTTTGCAAGGGGAAGAGGCAGCTACTGTACCGGATCACGCTGGTGCTTTGGGAAGTGACAGGAGGGAGCATGGAAGTGTAACAGCTGTTCTGATAGTGAGCTTTTCTCCGTGCTTGGCGAGGCTTCTCGAGACCGTAGCAGGCATCGAGAAGAATAATCAATAAAACAAGGCCAAACATAAATTTTTGTTAAGACCAAGAGGCATAATAACCAAACAGTTGGGGGTTGGTTACCGTGTAAATAAAATAAAAAAATAAAATAAAAGATTTGAAGGTTTTACAGCACAAACGTAGTGAAGGTATACGTGACTTATGTTTAGTTTGAAAACTTTTTTCCCTGCTTTTGAGCAAACACTGACAAACAAAGAAATTATTTCACAAATAATCTTGGACTGAGGAAATCCTGTCAGTTTCAAAAGGTTGCCCAAAACCAAGCAAGCTTGCTTCTTTCAGCAATAAAACCCCAAACAGTTGAACCCACTTGCCTCCAGCTGGAATAAATGATCCTCAGTGAAAACAAATTAGTCACGCTCCCTTGGTTTCCAGGACTTTTTTCATGATCTCAATTATGGAAGAAACAGTCGGTTTTGCATTGAATTATCAATAGCTGTTGGATGCAACAAACCAACAGATCTTTTCAAAGTTAAATAAAAAGGTCAGGTTGAAAAGCTGGGAGGGTGGCACATTATGAAAGCATGAGAGGTCATCAGAAAGAGTTGTTCATTCACAAGAATCACATTAAGGAGTTGGTTAACAGAATCCGTTAAGTTGTCTCTCAAACAAGAAGAGCAAGGAGTCTTACAGCAGATGCACCTAAGCCCCCAGCAGAGTCCCCGTCTCAAGAGGTGATCTGGAATTCAATAAAACCAAGAAAAAAATGTGGGGAAGTTCCCAAAGATGTCCACCAATCTGATTATTTCCATGACATTGCAAGTGCTAAAAAAATGTTCAGTTACCGTATTTTCCGGACTATAAGCCGCTACTTTTTTCCCACGCTTTGAACCATGCGGCTTATAATGAGGTGCGGCTTTAGTCAACCAGAAAGGATGGATGCTGGAAAGTCCAATGAAGGAATGGTTAAAGGAGTGCTACGGAAAGCGCCCAGGAGGATTTTTTTCACAGTAAAACGGCGCTGCTTGTTTTCCCAGCTTCACCCCGGCATGATGACAGCAACACGGAGAGCGACACTGACATCTCCACAGAAAAGGTATGTGACGAAGCTCTTCTGAGGCTGTTCAACTCCAACACTGAAGAAGATGACTTCAGTGGTTTCAGTGCGCAGGAGAATGATGAATAAACTAATTAACTTTTCTGT